TTCCACTGTCTAGCCGTAAATGCAACAGCTCTCTAAGTTTACGCTGATCTGGCCAGACAGCCCTAGACAGGAGAGAAGTGCTAGGTGTGGCAGCCTTAGAAACAGCACCACAAGCCTGTGTTCTGGCTCGTCAGCAAATACTGCTCAGTGAGCCTTAGAGGTGACAGGCACAATCAGAGATAAACCAGAGAACAGCGGGCCCTCCTCTACCCCAGGGAGTCAAACTGCTGAGTAACTGCACGAGATGCCGTTGTCTAAAATCCAAACATGAATATGTTTTCTAAAAGGACGTTACAGTCTAGAGTAGAATTAAATTAGTAGAAACTGAGCACTTCCAAACCAGATCAGTTCACTGGCTTAAAACACCACCGAAATAACTGAAGTAAAACATCACTGGTGGGCGAGAGGGCACAGTACTGTTTCACGAATGATTCCCCACGCACAGAGCACGAATCCAATCAGCTGGATTAGAGTCAGGGTGATTTCTTCTATGAATTCATAATCCTATCATATTACCTTGCGCTTTCGCTCACATCAAACTTCAGTGTGAATGGCTGTTACAACAGCTTATGCAATTGTATGCACTACGAACTGACTCACCCATGCAGGCTTGTCTAAACTCTGCTCAAGGTAAAATTCAGGGACCATCTCAGAGAGGGCCAGGGAGTCAGTGACTCACACTTATTGTACTAAATGCTAAGCTCTGACTCAGAGTGAACCCTGTTGGTTGCTGACTGACACTGTAAGTCACTGAACAGAAGAAGGTCACGTTGTGAGTCACCTGGTGGTACACTGAACACCGATTTGAAATATTCCCAATTGGACAGCGATTCACATTATAATCAGATTGGGACTTGACACATGTGATTTCAAAACTCAGTTCTGCTGAATGGCCTTGGGAGACTGCTACAAAGTCATTCCCTACTCAGTGCCCTGTATTTCTGTCTAAGAACACATGGTAGGGGAGGTGCATAGAGGTGCAAAGTCAAGGGTAAGCTACTCAGGTCACGCTCTGGAGAGAACCATGGTTTCCTTCTTCAAGGATGCAAGCACAGGTCCCAGAAATGCCTTCTGTGGAAGACGCATCATTCTTACAAACTTAAACGACTGTGCAAGGCCAGATGCTTACTTGAAAGGTTCTGCCCTAGAATTCCTAAACTGCTGTGAGGGCTGGACCTTGAGGCTACCAGCTCCATCTGTCCGTGGAAGGTGAATGTCATTAGTCATTAGACTGCCACTTGTAGAAATGAAAGAACTGTGGGATTTTAGGATTGATATTCAAGTGCCTGGAATGGAAACCATTTATTTATTTATTTAAAAAAATTTTTTTAATGCTTTATTTATTTTTGAGAGAGCGAGCGAGAGAGAGCAGGGGAGGGTCAGAGAAAGAGGGAGACATAGAATCCGAAGACAGGCTCCAGGCTCTGAGCTGTCAGCACAGAGCCTGACGTGGAGCTGGAACCCACGGAGTGTGAGATCATGACCTGAGCTGAAGTCGGACGCTCAACCCAACCAACTGAGCCACCCAGGCGCCCCATATGGGAACCATTTAAAAGCGACTGCATTAAAATCAGAAGGCTTATTTTCTCTTTCACGCTTGCTTGTCCACAAAATCTGGAATAATAAAATCTCCTTCCTATGTAACTTTGAAGGCCTTAAGTTCTCTTAAGACGGAGATTTTAAGAATTTATAAAAAGCTCAAAAGTGATTTCTAAGGTAAAACTGCTCCAAGGGATTAATAGAATATGCAACCAAATGCAGCCTTCAGTGAGACCTTGAATTCCAATGCTGTAGCTTAATCTGTGACCTTAGCTTACCTTAGGTAAGTTATGAGGTCGTACCTCCTACTGTGAGACACCTCCATCAAGCTATGGGACAGCAGCAGCCAAATTACTGCCTGGTCTTTCTTATGTTGTATATAACACATGGCTTCCAGTTTCCTATCTGTTAAAGGTTCAACAATCTGTAAACAGGTGAACATCAGTGTGGTTATCTAGGAGCCCAAGGGAGCAGGTCAGAAGGCCTAATTTGAATTCTATCTGGGGCCCTCTTTCAGTGGAGATCTTCAGTAGAGAACTCCATCCTCTCTGAATGTTTCCTCAGCTGTAAAGTGAAGGAATCGGACTTTTAACATTCTGTGTATTTTTTATTTCTTTTTTTAAATTATTAAAAAAAATTTTTTTTAATGTTTTATTTATTTCTGGGAGAGAGAGAGAGACAGTATGAACACGGGAGGGTCAGAGAGAGGGAGGGAGATACAGAATCTGAAACAGGCTCCAGGCTCTGAGCTGGCTGTCAGCACAGAGCCCAACGCGGGGCTCAAACCCTCGAACTGTGAGATCATGACCTGAGCCGAAGTCGGATGCTTAACCAACTGAGCCACCCAGGCGTCCCTCTTTCTTTCTTCTTAAAGTGATCTCTGTGACCAATTTGGGGCCCAAACTCCCAACCCAAAGATCAAGAGTTGCACACTCTAGGGACTGAACCAGCCAGGTGCCCCAATTTTTCTATATTCTTGATATTAAGCATATTTTGGCTAAACTGCTTATAATCATCTTCGAGAAGTCAGCATTTCTAGCTCCCAATAGAAGTTTCCAGATCCTCTTATACATAATTGACCTGATGCAATATTTTAAGGCAGATATTAGCTTTTCTGTATATACTATGACCTAGTGTGTACTTTTAATATGTTTTACAAAGTGAATATTTTGAAGGTTAGAGATAATTTTCTTAAAATGCTGTTTGAAATGTGTATGCAAATATCTCATTATTATTTGAAAGGGTTCAGATGATGTAGAAATGCATTGTATTTAAAATGTACATACCAACACGGAAAATATTTACTGGTTTTCTAATTTTGGTGATGGACATCTTCTATTTCATTACATACACTCTTTATAGCTCACCAATAAAATGCATTTTGTTCCTCATCTTTTTATATAGTATCCTGAAGGCAACTTAGCCAATTTAGCATACACAGTAATAGTAATAACAGCTTTTATTTGGTATGTGACAGAGCTCTGCTATATTAATTTACGGAATGCTGGCAGCTACCCTATCAAGTAGAGCTTTTTTCTAATCCTCATAGTGCAGATGACAGAACAAAGTCACTAAACGTAAAGTAACTTGCCTGAGGTCACACACCTAGGCTGGGATTTGAATTCGACAGTTTCAGAGCCCAGGACTCTGATCTATCAGGCAACACTGCCTCTCATATGCGATACTGATACGCGATACAAATGATGCCATTTAATGAGAAGTCACGATGAGACACTGTAGAGATTATAAACAAAGGTAACGAGCAAAACCCAGAATTTCCAAATAGAGTCACTGTATTAAAATGAACTTGCCAAGTCTGGGACTTGAACTCGGGACCCTTGTATAGTCAATTCCATAATCTGGAACCACTAGAAGTAAAATGAAGCCAAGCCACGCAGGGGCCCGTTGCCCGGAGAAAGGGAAAAGACCCAAGTGGGGTGAATGGGGATTGGTGCAGGGGCTCCCGGCTCCCCCACACGCCAGGCAATACTGGGCCAAGAGGGCGGGTGGCTGCTTCGGCCGGGCTACGGACGGGAGCACCGCCCCGAAGGCGCCGGCCGCGGTGGGGACGCCCGGCCAACTCCAGCCAGTCCGCCAGGCTGGGATCGCTGGGGTGCAAAGGAGCGATGGGCCCCGCGGGATTCGGAGAAGCAAAGGAAGGAAGGACAGAGTACAGGGCTCTCCTCCTCCGGGACGGAAACTGCGCTCACGTTCACGGTTCTAACCTGTCCTGCGCGGACGGCGCGGGTGCAGCAGCAGCAGCAGCGCGCCGGGCTCCCGGCCCGCGCCCCCGCGCCGGCTTCCAGCACCATCCACCGCCGCGTCCCGCCCGCTGCTCGGGGCGCGCGCAGGCCCTGGCCGCTCGCCGGGATTTTCCTCCGAAACTGGCGAGGCCGGAAAACCCACTATGGTCTCGGAGCACCGCCTACACCTGGGCGCTTCCCCGCCCACTCACCCCCCACGCGCGGCGGGCAGGTGGCGGCGCACAGACCCCCGCCCAGTGCCCGCCGTTTCCCGCCCCCGCCCCCCGGACGCGGCGACGCAGACCCCGCCCCAAAACGCCCGCCCGCTCACCGCCCCCTCCCCACAGCAGGGGGAGGGGAGCGGCCCAGCAACACTGACCACCCTCCGCTCGTCTCCCCATCCCTTCCCGCCGGCCGCGAGGCCCCTCCTGGGTCCCCGGCGCGCCCACGCCCCCTTCCAGTCTCCGCAGCCCGGGCGCCCCGACTCGTCCCAACTTACCGCGCGCTGCTCGGCGAGCGCGGAAGACTCACTGGCCGGGCTTCGCTCAAGAAAAATGCCCGCGGCGCCGGCCCCTTAACCGCCTCGGCCAAGGCTGGGGGACAGTTCAGGCCATATCTGTTCTCCAGAGCTTAAAGGCCGACACCGAGCCCGACCCTCCGGGGTGCGTGTTCCCGCGCCCACTTCCTGCGTCCCCCACCTGAGTTGCGCTTTTCCTAAGGGGAGGTTCTGCGAGTCGGGGAGTGTCTGCTCTGCCTTCTCACCTGCGTCCCAACTGCCGGCCTCCAGCGCCCCGCCGCTTCCTCGCCCTTCTCCCTACCTGGTGACAGTGCCGACGCGCCCACCGCCCGAGCTCCCCACACGTGCTTCGGGGGTCAGCTACACTCCCGCGCCCTCTACCCACTCACTGACCTCAGGCCACAAAGGCGGAATCGTGCGGACGCCCGGATGGACCCGGCAGAAACTGATCCCGGAGGCAGGACGCCCCCCTGGAGGCCCAGTCACACCCTAAGCCCATGCACCCCCACAATGCGCAGTGACTAACCTACGCGGCTGGACCGGCCGAGGAGGCGACCGACCCGCACCCGCTCCCGCCACCGCGGCGACAGCGAGGGTCCAGGTCCTGAGCGCGCGCCCCGCCCGGTCCCGGCCACTTCCCACCCCGAGGCCTTAGGGGGAGTCCGAGAGGAGGCAGGGGGTTGGGGGTGCGGGGTACTCACGGTTCCACCGTCCGCCGGGCGAGCCCGAGGGGAAGCTCCGGCCCGCTCGCCTCCGTCGGCCGTGCGCATGCGTCCCGCGGGTGCCTTATTTTTTATTACAATACCAACTGGTGGCTCTACTACGTCCGCGGTCGCCCTTCCCGGTTTTTCTCTTCCTCCGGCTCGGTCTTTCCTCCCGCCGTCTCTCCCTCGCTCACGCTCCCTCTGCTCGGCCGCCCCCCCACCTCCGCTCGCGGGCCGGGCTATCCGGGTCTCGCCTCCCTCTTGCGGCGGCGCGCTCCACTGCGGCGGGGGCCGGGGGTCGCCCCGGGCTCCAGGCCGGACGCAGTCCGCGGCGGGACTGTAGCCCCTCCTCCGAGCCCGGGATCAGGCAGAATCCGGAGTGTGGGCGCGTCGCCCCGCGAGCGCGGAGGGCGTCTGCAAAGCCCCTCTGCGCGCCCTCCGCCCCGGCGCGCGGGGGCCGGGCGAGACTCGGCTGTGCGGGGACGCGTGCTCAGGTCTTGTGAATGAAGGAGGGAGGAGCGAGTGCGAGTGTGCTGCGGGCGCGCCCCCAGCCGAGGGGGCGCCCCGTCCCTGGGGAGTCCACGCCGTGGATGACCCCGCCCTGGAGGCCTGCCCCCTACCTTCTCCCCTGCCCTGGGTGCTTCTCCGAGCTCTGCCCCCCCACCCCCCGCGCAGTTTCAGCCCCTGCTGGTCCCTCTCTGGAAAGGGGTTCCACGCCCTCTTCCTGCCGCGGTGGCCGGCGCCGAGGTGGGGGCGGGGATGGGGGCGGGGGTGGCTAACTCCGGATTCCGGATCCCGCTGGGACCCCAGGCAGCCGCCTTGCGTCTCCAGGGGCTCCAAAGTCCGGGAATAGAGAGAGCCCTGGGGGGGGTGTTGCCGCCCAGTCTGCGGGCGGAGAGCGCCGAGGGCCCCTCCACACCCCGCCGCGTGCCCCCGGGAGCGAGGCGCAGACGGACGCGGCGCCCTGAGCCGGAGCTCGGAGGGCTCAACTGAAGCTGGAAGCTGACCTGACACAAAAATAACATCACGTCATTTCCTCCGCGGCCTCCGGAGCTCGCGGGCGCCGAGAGGGCAGGGGAGTGGGAGCGCGAGGAGGGGGCGGGGGCGCGTCTCGGGCCGGCTTGGAGGAGGGGGGCTGGGCGACACGCCGAGAGCGCGAGCTTGAGAAGCAGCCTCTGCAAGGGCCAGGGCTCCCTCCCTCGCTCATTAATCCGGGAAAGAAATGACCCAGGGAAAAGTAGCTTCGAGGGTCTCCTGCGGAAAGGGGGTGTCAGGCGAGGCGCGGGCGCCTTTTCCTTAAGCGTGCTCAGACCTCTCGACCTTCCCGCCAGAACCCTCCGCCGCCCCCGGCGCCTCCCCGCGCCCCGTGCTGGCCCGGCGTGAGTGGGTCAAGCGGTGGTCGGGAGGGAGCGGGGGACCGGGTGAGGCCGGGGTACTCACGCGCCCGGGCACGCTCGGCCCCGCGCAGGCATCCTCTGTCCCGGGCGGGGGCCCCCTGGGGGGCTAGGCGGTGCCGCAGCCGCCCCGCGCCGGAGCGAGAGGGGACCCAGCCTCTGGCCGGGCGCGAGCGGGAAGCCGGAGGGAGAAGTGCGGGCGCCGCTGGGGAGCCCCAGAAGGGGGTCGCCGGAGAAGGTGAGAGAAGAGCCGCGCGAGGCCGGAGAGCGTGCTGAAAAGAAGGCTGAGCCGCTTCGGGGCAGCTGGCGAGTCTGGGAGCTGCGCGGGGCCGGCGGCAGGGCCGGCTACAGACGCAGGAAATGTGCTTTCAGTGCCATTTCTACAGCATTTGGAGGCGGCACTTTTGGGGTGCAAGAGAAGGTCGGAGAGAGCAAAAGGAAGGGCCTTCCCCTTTCTCTCCTTTACGCCTTCTTCCCTTCCTTCCTTCCTTTCTTCCTTCCTTCCTCCCCTCCCTCCCTCCCTCCTCCCCCCTTTCTCCCTCTGCTACCCAGTGTGGTTCTGGGACCAGCAGCTTCAATAACAACCTGGAGCTTCTCAGAAATACAGACTCTGGGCCCCTATCCCAGATACTGCCTTGGAATCTGCATGTTAACATTCCCAGGAGGTTCCAATGCAGCGTAAATATGAGACGCATCTGTGTTCCTCCCTCTTGGTTCTTGAGAATGTTCTGTGAATGAAATTCTAGTTCACTTTTGCAACCGTTGCTCTTTTCTCTCTTCCCCTCTCCCCTTTCCCACCTCGCAAAGTGCCTAGAGCTCTCCCTGCTGGAGGTACAGAAGTCGGACCTGGTTGGTTACTAGGTTCCGTTGTGAGAAGTGTCTGGGGGAGGCTTGGACGGTGGCCGAAGGCTCAACAGTGCCAGACCCAGGCCGAGTGGAAGAAGGGACTGGCTCATTTGACTTTGGTTGTGCTGGTTGGAGAGGCCTGGACACCGGGACTGTTTCGGGGCTCATGAGTGTACACAGTATGCAGGGCCCCTTTCTGCTCTCTGTGTATCCACCTTATTCTCAGGAACGCAGGCCTTTCCACCTTCCACTTGTTGCTTAGGAAATCTACATGACCACTGTGAAGGCAAAGTGATTATTTTCTTTGAAAGTAGAGGGAAGCATTAATTTAGAAGTCAGAAGCCCAGGGTTCTACACTCAGCCTTGAACTGACTCCACGGCTAACCTTGGGAAAGTGTCTTTATTCTTTGAATTTATCTACTTCGCTTATGAAGTAAAGGGATAGAAGTCCGTGGTTTTTTGAGGTCACCTGCCTAGTCAGACTCTCATTTTTGAGCTCGGAGAGCTTCCGTGTCCCCGAACACTTAGTGAAGTTACAATCCAGAACCCAATGCAGCCAATCCAAACAGCCCCCTCAAGCAAAACAGAAAGACAATCTAATCTGTTTGTGAAAAATAAGAGTGGTGGTTGCCAAGAAAATTGAAGGCGGAGGCGGGAAGCAGCGAATAAAGGTGACTGGGTGGCGAGCAGCAGGACTAGGCGCGCGGGGAGCGGGAAGGGTGTCCCAAGGGCGCGGCGGCCGCTCTCCAGGGTCCTGAAGGCGGGAGCGTCCAAGGGCGGCCCGGGGGCTTGGCGAGCATACCACCCCCGCCCCCCAACTTTGCAGTCTCCGGGCCCTGGCATGTTTTCTTTGGGCGGTGGAAGTCTTGTGGGAAGCGATTGCCGGGAGGGAGGGAGGAAACCTAGCAACCTATTCTCATTCATGAGGCCCTTTCTTGGAAGCCGCTGAGCTGGTTGGCTGATTGGTCTTTGGTTGTTTGTATGTGCTCGGGAAGAGAGCGGAGCTTGGTTTGCATTTCCGAGTAAGTTCACACTGTTTCGCTTCCCCTCATTACTTTTTCCTGGAGAATGAGGTCTTTCTCCTAGTACTTTCATTCTCCCCGTTCGATGCTTCTCTCTCATCTACCGCTTTCTGGCATCAAGCGGTTATTTTAGGGGTTGGAGAGCCCCAGAGGCTTCTGGAGCAGCGCCAACAGTTCACTCGAGGCTGGGGGAAATGAGAGATTTGGAAAACGCTCAGAGCTGGCCTTGGCACTCAGCTTCCATCTCTCCAGGGAGGAGGGCAGGGGACGAACCCCTTGGTCTGGGGATGGGGGATGGGGTAGGGGCTCAGTCAGTGCCAAGCGAGCTCCTACGCTGCTGCCAGCCGGGCCTGGGAGGGTCTTGGCTAACTTCGCTCGCACCTGCCAGTGGTGGCTGGCCAGCAGCCGTGGCAGTGTATGCCTCCAGCGCGCAGCTGGATGGCAGCAGAGACCTAAGCGGAGGAGGGCCCCGGGGCCTGAAGGACCCCATGCAAAGGAAGTCCAGAAAGAACCAGGTCAGTCCCTGGCGACCCAGAACTTGACTAAGCCCACCCACAACCTTTCCTGACCAACCTTCATTGGAGGGCTTGAACAAAGCTTAAACTGCTGAGAATGAGCAGCAGGCACACTTCTGTGACACCTGCCCCACTCCTAGGGGCCCGAAGGAAGCTTCTTGGGACATCCATGGGTCCCAGAATTTGTGTCTCCAGCTCATATTTTCAAATGGTTTTGTGAGAATGTGTGAACCTGTAACCTGACCCTTCTCTCTTCTTGCCTTCCAAGTCCTTCCCAGGTCATTTGCATGTCCCCCCCGCCCCCCACCTTCGCTTCATTAGGCATTTTGCTTCGGTCCTTTGCTTCAAGACAGAGATGCTTGTGAGTGAAAATAGTGGAAATGTTCAGGCAGAATAAAAGTCTGAGAATCAGCCCCAGAAACACAAAGCCTGGCTCCGTTGGTCCTTTGGAGACATTCAGCTTTTACCCTTCCCTGCACTGGTCTTTTCTCTCTGGATCAGCAGCCTGCCCTCCCATGCTGCCTGGTGTCTAGACACACTCTGCAGTCACAGCGAGTCTGGGGAGGGACCGCTGGCTTCTCTAACAAGCAGAGATGTGAAGCATCCTGAAGCATCCTGGGTGTAGGGTGCTGAAATCTGACTTCCTCTGGCCCTCCTGGCAAGGACAGAGCTCTGGGAGTATCAGTGTAGCCACAAAATTCGATCTGAGACAAGTTATCTGAGGAAAGACCTTCAACTGCCCGCAGTACTTCAGAGATCCCTGTCTTCCTGTTAGGCCAGACTCCAGATGACAGTTGGAGGGTTTCACTGATAGCCCCAAAACGGAATCATCTTGGAATCTGTATTTCTGAAAGCACAGCTCCTTAGGGATCCAGAAGACTTGGGGAATACTTTATGAAGATCGAATGTCCACTTCCTTAAGTTATCATATTGAGTATTGAACCATGCCGAGGAAAACGTCACCACATCCAAATCAATATACGCAAAGTTTCTTCCCTTTAAAAGCCACATTGAAAAATTTCATTCGCCCCTAAATAGCATCATTTCATAAAAGAAACATCCATGGCAGGATTAAATTACATCTTTTAAAAAAATTTTTCTTTTAAATGTTTTATTCATTTCTGAGAGAGAGAGACAGTGTGAGCAGAGGAGGGTCAGAGAGAGAGGGAGACACAGAATCTGAAACAGGCTCCAGGCTCTGAGCTGGCTGTCAGCACAGACCCCAACATGGGGCTCAAACCCACGAACTGTGAGATCATGACCTGAGCCAAAGTCAGACGCCTAACTGACTGAGCCACCCAGGCATCCCAGGATTAAACTACTTCTAACCAAAATTTTCTGAGAGCCTTTAGAATAAAAATCACAGTTAGAATGGAATTTGAAATTGATTTAATTTTTTGAGATGACCTATTTTCCACCTGGATTCTTTTTTCCGAGAATTCTGTTTCGCTGTGGTGTGACCCTCTTAGACACTTTTATTTTACACTATTTGGAGAACCATTTCCTCCACTTGGATCTAAGAACCTAGTTCACAGTGACTTAAAGCTATAATGCAAGTGTTTGCTTGTGCTGAGAACAAACCATGCAGTTTGGAAAATAGTAAGATATAAGACAGACAGATCATGGATATTAAAGTCACAGGTTACTATTAATTTGAGGCCAACCAAACTGTTAATAGCATGTTTCTATTAGGGTTCACTTCAAATCTCAGAGTTCCTAGTGAAAGTACAACTGTTAAAAAGAACATCTCTGTAGCTCGTAATTAGCTCTG